TATGAGCATGGAACAACAGCAAGGGGAATTAACTTAATGATCATAATCATATTACCGAGCAAGAAAATATCCATCTTATTAAAGTCCCCATAAGAAGGCCCTCTATTTGTGGGATGGGTAGAACAGACTCTTTAAAACTCCAAATCTCAAATTTAAACAGAAAAATATCCACTTGAATATATTGAGAATTTCTTGTGTGTACACTGTGACAAAGATAAAGATCACAGATTGTGAAAAATCTTTGCAATGTCAGAAGCTGACAAAGGACTAAGAGACTCAAGAATATTAACCAGAAAAAGACAAAAATTCTATTTTTTAAAAATAGGCACAAGATATAAACAGGTAATTTATAAAAACAGTCACTCAAAAAGCTAATGAAGTTATGAGAGGATTCTTAAACTCATTATTAATTAAAGAAATATAATTAGAATATTGGGTGAGTTTATAGATTATCTCATGTGTCTTTATGCAAGAGATCAATCACCTATGTCCACACTGCCATATTTGAGTTCTTAGTTATGTTAAATTGAAGGACAAACATAGAACTGGGTGATTCAGCCAAGATGAAGGTTATTCCTTGAGTGTGCAGCCAGCCTCTGGAGAGCACACTTCTGTTTTGTTCCTCTAACTGCAGCTACTTTGACTTTTCTCTTAAATCTATTTTTCATTTTTACTCCAAGCACTATTTTTAAATGGTTCTTCAAAAACCCCTTTGGAGAGAGAAAGTATGCTTCCACATTTAAATAATCAGAATTATACTGTGTCTAACAACCCTGAAATTCCTGGTTTTTTAGTTTCAGGCATTACTTCATCTAAAGAGAACTCAGATAAAAGAGACGTAGCATGAATATCAAAAATATATCTTGATGAAGAAACTATGAAATGAAGAGGCTCAGTAGTGCATGAAAAGCTACAAAAATAATAATCAGGAAAGCCAGGATTTGAACTCAAGGGTTTTGACATCAGAGACCATGTTCTTGACCATAGGCTTTGAAGTGGAGTCATTAAAAGAGGCTATGAATCGCTAACATAGTGCTGTTTTTTATAAAATTTGTTTTTATTAATTAATTACTTTATCAACCCTACTCTTTTGTCAGGCACAGTGTTGAACACTGGAGCTACAAAGATGAAACTCACAACCTAGTGTAGAAGACAGGCCAAACAGCTATTATATTATTTTGTGCCTACTCAATTTCAGCATGATGAGTGCACTGGTGAGAACATGTCAGGGTATTATGAGAGTAGGAACACCTAATTTGGCTAGGAGAGGCCCTAAAAGCTTTCTGAAGAAATAGCCAGATGAGCTAGAATTAGCCATGAAGGAGGTGAGGGGAGGTAAAACACTCCAGAAACGTAAAGACAATGCAGACGAAGGCATCATGGAGTTTAGTGCATTGAATCATAGAATGCAAGGTGGAAATGAGGTTGAAATAAGGAAAGACAGAGCTCAGATCTAGGAGGGCCTTTGGATAATGGCAAACTGTTTGGATTTAATCCCATAAGTGAAAGGGATTACAGAATTAAAAATAAGAGAGTCACAAAAACATGGATATATTTTAAATAGTTTGGGTGGCAGGGTGGAAACTGATTTGAAGGTCAATGAGTCAAAATAAACTAAGTTGTGCTATGGTAACAAGTAAATCTCCAAATCTCAATGAGTTAATGCAATAATGGATTATTTCTTAAATATCCAAAGTCTGAAGCTAGCTGAATAGCCCTCCTTCACCTGGTAGCTATACCATCTAGAATGTGTGTACTCCAGGTTACTGCAGCAGAGGAGAGAGGTCTGGAGAAAAGCACTGGAATGTTTTCACACTGGGACTGGATCAATTTCTCCCATATCTCATCATCCAGGACCCTGTGGTATGATTCAGTACAACTCCAACAGGCTTTAGGCAAGCACTTGAGTGTCTATCACAGAATAGAGCACTCCTTTCTCTCTTGTTTATAATAGACCAAATATACCTATAAATTATTGTTTGAAAAAAATTATGTTTATTCATTTATTCAATTCATTCAACAAATGTTTTCTTGAGCACCTACTATGATCCAGGCATTCACATAAGTATCAAGGGGTCCAACATTGTTCTTGTGGGTAAACTCTTATTTGACTCTCCATTTCCATGATGATATGTGCAAAAGACAGAGCGACAGAGTAAGTGGAGTGGAAAGTGTAATATGGGCCAGATCCTGCATCTTATAGGCAATTGTGAGGACTCTGAGTTTGACTTAAAAGAAGGGACTTTCAAACATTCTGTGCAACAGAGAAACATGACTTACTTTTTAAAAGGATCATTCTTGCTGCTCTACTGAGAATAGATGTAGGATGGTAGGGTGCAAGCACTGATCTCTACTAAGAAGTTACGTAGTAATCCAAATGAGCAATGGTGATGGCTCAGATCAGGAAGGAAGCATGGAGATGGTCAGATTCTGGATATATTGTGAAGATAAAGTATTTAGTTTTGAAGATAAAGTCATCAGGATTTGAGGATAATTTAGATATGTGGTGTGAGGAAAAAAGGTCTTACACTCCCAGGAGAAGAGCCCTGCAGTCCACTGAGGGGAGATGAACCTTTATCATTAAAACTTTTCTGAGATGGTTTCAGAAGGGCTCTAGAGAGTATTAGTTTCCCAAATTATTCAGATCCAATAGGTGCTTCCTTTAGAATTTCAAATGATAACAATGTTTATGGAAAAGTCTTTTTCTTAGATGGAAAGTTTAGCTCCAAATACTTCATTTTCCCACACTCACAAGATTTCTTAAAAAATCTGTATAGATCTCTCTACCTAAAAAGAAAACTGGTTGGCAAATTACAAAAATGTCTTTGTTTTTGGGCGCCTGGGTGGTTCAGTCGTTAAGCAACTGCCTTCGGCTCAGGTCATGATCCCAGGGTCCTGGGATCGATCCCCGCATCAGGCTCTCTGCTCAGCGGGGAGCCTGCTTCTCCCTCTCCCACTCCCTCTGCTTGTGTTCCCTGTTTCGCTGTCTCTCTCTCTCTGTCAAATAAGTAAATAAAATCTTAAAAAAAAAAAAAAAGACTTTGTTTTTAAAGCCAAGTCAACAAATATTAAGCTATGCTAGATTCATTTTGATGTGACACCTCATTTACTTTCTGTTAGGGGCATGTTTGCTTTTGGGACCTGCCCATATTTCTATATCTTTTATAAAAATAAAACTCTTCATGCTATTTATTAATAGTAGTAGTACAGTAGAAAGACGCTAAATAAGGTACACCACATTGGTGATTTGGTTCATCCACTGGGTATGAAATAGTAGAACTGCAGATCATATTTAAGTTGAATTTTGATGAAGGCAGAAAATGGGGGAACATTTTAGACATATAGGACAAATGAATGCATGGATATAAAAGAGGATGGCCAATTCATGAAAATAACAGAATTTAGGGCTCATGTGAGGGGACAGTAGGTTTGGAGTTACAAGGAGTAAGATACTGAGGCTGGTAAGGTTTGATAAGATCGATTATGAAGTTATATATGGATAACATACCTGCTATAACAACAAGTTTCAATTTTACCTTTTAGTTAAAATAAAGACAATGATGTTGAAAATATAAAAGAACTGAAGAGACTTATGGGAGGAAGGTAGTAGAGAAGAGACAAAGGGAAGCCATTAGAAAGCCACCCAACAGAAAAGCACAGTTGAGAGACAATTTAATCATTAGAAATCCAAGAGAACTAAGTTTATAAACTACAGCACATCTAGCAGGAATAATAAGCTAAAGTTATGAACAATTATGTAGTTATACATTGTTGTCTTATAAAATGATAAACTCCATTTAATTTTTTTCTCCTACTAGGCCCAGGAAGTCAGAAAGTTTTAATACTGTAAGAATCCCAGCTTGAAACCTAGCTTAAAAGAGTCCCACTTGCTTTCATCCAATGTATACTGTCTAGAATCTGCCCCACTCAAGTAACCAAGAAGTTCCAGAGGCAATTGTGAAGTTTTCAATATCAAGTGGAGTGACTGCTTTCTTCAGGAAAGTGGATAGGCAATAAAGACATATTAAAAAGGCATCCCCAAACATCAGTGTTACAGAAGTGATAGCAATGAATAAATCATTGTGTGCATTAGAAAACTTCAATGCAACAAAACAACATACCACATATAAAGAGGGAAGTAGTATTTATGAAATCCCATAACCAACAAAGAATTAGTATCCAAAATCTATTTTAGAATTTGTTTACAAATTCATAAGTAAAAGACAAGCCCATAGAAAATTCAGCAAAGGATTAATAGGCAATTCACAGAAAATAAAACTGAAGTGTTTATTGAGCATATGTGAAAATATGTTCAAATGGACCACTGTGAGTGTTGGTCTCTGAAGGAAGAGGAGGGAGGAAAATCCCATTTGGAGAAAGCACAAAGGGAAATGCTGCTCTATGTGTAACATTTAATACCTTTAGAAAATAAAGAGCAGAGCAAATTATTACTAAATGCTAACATTTGGTGATCTGGGTGGCAATCATATGTATGTTTGCTTTGCTTTCTGTATTTTCTTTTGTATTTTTGAAATATTCTTTAATAATAAATTTGCATATATGATGATTTTACCATCCTTTATATAAATATTTCCCCATCTATCACTTTTATGAGGTAAAATGGTAAGAAGGGCAGTTATGAGTTAGGGGAAGAACATAAGAGTCGAGTTGGAATCCTAAATTCTAGTCCCAAATCTGCCACTTGACCACTGTGTGACCCTGAGCAAATTACTTAACTGTTCTGAAACTGACTCCTCACTTGAAAAACTTAAAACAAAAACAAAAACAAAAACCCAGTATCTACTACATAAAGTTATTTTAAGGAGTGAATTATTTCATGTAAATGAAAGTGATATGATATTCATATGTGATGAAAAGATATTGGGAATTCTCAAAACCCACAGTTAATGTGAAATTAATTGAACATATTTTCCCATTTAGGATCATTCTAAACTTATAGAAACATTAGAAACAAAAAAGAGACATGTATCTTTTCTTACCAGGTCTATTAGCTGAGAATAGAGTTCATGGCAATTGTCAAAAATATACTTGTATGTAGAATCCAGGCAGGCTCTAACACAGTCCTTCACCACCATGCTGGCCTTTGGGGGGCTTTGCAGCTCCAGAACCTGAGAGACAAATTATTTTCTTAAATTCAAAAATAGAAGATTACAATCCAGTATAAACAACTTAAACAACCTCAATAAATGTTTTTAGTTGATTTTTCTATGTTCAGGAAAAATGTGGTCTTAGCAATGTTTTAAATGTGTAAGTATTTACTTTAACTTCTTGATAATGGATCATAGTTGTGAAAATGATCATAGCTGTAAATATTCAACTAGAAACTCTTAGAGCAACCAATCACATTATTCACCTATACTTTTCAATAATTCAACAATTATTTATCACCTACTATATGCCTGACAATGGTTATATTGCAATGAACAAAAGAAATAAAAATCCCTTTCCTCATGGAGCTAAACTGTAAAATATATTACATGATGATACACACTGAAAAGAAAAATAAAACAGAGAAGAGGGGACAGAAAGTGTTTCAGTGGAATTGTATTAATAGGATACAATAGTAGGTGAATTTAAAGAAGTAAGAGAATGGGCCCAGGGGGAACATTTATATCTAGACTATTTTTACAAACCTTAGCTTTGAGTAAGGTGGGAAGGAAATGGACTGTTTCAGCAGAAGAGCAAAGTGACCTAACTGAACTATCTTTTTTTTTTTTCTTTTTTTAAGATTTTATTTATTTATTCATGATAGAGAAAGAGGCAGAGGCAGAGGGAGAAGCAGGCTCCCTGCAGAGCAGGGAGACTGTTACGGGACTCGATCCCAGGACCCTGGGATCATGACCTGAGCCAAAGGCAGATGCTTAACCAACTGAGCCACCCAGGCACCCCTGAACTATCTTTTAAAAGTTTCCCTTAGGCTGCCCATGATGGTCTATGGAAAAAGTAGAAAGACCAGTGATGAGAACAGTGCAAGAATTCAGTCAATATAGTGCTTGCACTATGGTGTTAAGCTAGGAGCTGTTTAGAAGAAACCATATTCTGGTTAGTTTGGGAAGGAAGAACTAATAGGATCTGCTGACAGGCTGGATGATTGGTGTGAGAGAAAGAGAGCAGTTGGGACCCTATGGTTTTAGCCTGAGCAGCTGGTACAATGGAGGGGCAAAGCTGTGCACAGGAAATCAGGAGCTCGGTTTCAGACAAGAACGAACAGGTTGTTGTGCACAAAAATAGATTTCAAGTAGATATTTGGATATATGAGTTTAGACTCATGAAGCTATCTGGGGCTCGAGATACAAATTTAGAAATTATTAGCTTGGGGGGCCTGGGTGGCTCAGTCATTAAGCATCTGCCTTTGGCTCGGGTCATGATCCCGGGGTCCTGGGATCGAGCCCTGCCTCGGGCTCCCTACTCGGCAGGAAGCCTGCTTCTCCCTCTTCCACTCCCCCTACTTGTGTTCCTGCTCTCGCTCTCTCTCTGTCAAATAAAAAAAATCTTAAAAAAAAAAACCAAACCACAATTTGTCATTTCTCGTAAAGTTAATCATACATTTATCAAATGACCCAGGAACCTCGCTTCAAGACAAGTGAAAGTTTCTGTTTATACTAATAATATGTACATAAGTATTTTTAAGAGTTTTATTTATAACGCAAACCAGGAACAACTCAAATGCCTGTAGTGTATACATAACCAAGGATTACTACTCATCAAAAAAAGGGAACAAACAGCTGATACACTCAACAAGATAGATGAATAGCCCATGTGTCATGCTATATAGTATATTATTTCATTTACATGATGTTCTGGAAAAGGTAAAACTATAGGGCGACAACAACAGATCGGTGGTCACCAAGGGCTTGGAGAGGGGTTGAGTATAAAGGAGCAGCTCAAGGGGATTCTGGAGGACTATGGAACTGTTTTACATGTTGACTGGAGTGGTGGTTACACTCTACACCAAAACTCATTGATCAGTACAACAAAGGAATGAATTTTACTGTCTGTAATGAGAGAAGAAAATGGGAGGATGAAATTTTTTCAAAAGATACTGGGAGATTAGAAATTGGGAAGAAAACATGAAGAGGATGATTTTGAGGAGTTTTGGTATTAAAGGAAAAGAGGAATTAGGGTATAGCAGCTGGAGAAGGAAGGGGACTGGATCATTGAAGAGAGTGGGGAGGACTGTGCACCAAGGTTTTATTACTCAAGAGGGGATGAAATCAACTGCACAGGTGGAAGAGATGGCCTTTTCTAGGAGAACAGACAGCTAATCAATAGGAATTAGAAAAGAAGGAAGAGTATATGGACACAGATGCAGGTATGTAGATAGATGGGGGGGCGGGGAGGACCATGTGGTCTGAGCTTGAGGAAGCTCTCCAGTCTTTGTTCCCATTTTGCCACAGGGCTGATGACTGGCATCGCCTGTCAATAAAAGAACATTTCCCTCTGAGCCTGGCTGGAGGCTTACTCTCATTCTCTACATACTGTTTTGGCAGCTGCTGCCAGGAGATCAGAATGGATAGAAATTGTATTTATCCCAGTCACCCAATTTAACTCTGATTTTAAGCCAAATGAATTTTACCTGAACTTTAAAAAATCTAAATGATTGCTGATAGAGTATGGCTTTGTTTTCTGTCTCTCATTACACAGTACCATTTTTAGTGCTTCTAGTGAAAACAATCATGGGCAACTGAAAATTATATATTTTTTTCTGTACAGGAATTTTCTGAATAAACATCATAAAAGATCAAAACTTTTTTAGCCCATAGCCTGACAAGTAGTTGTAGGAAACACTTTACATGAATTGTCCTGCTAGCCAAATTATGATTGTAGAGATTTTGCTGTTAAAGCAGAAGAGAGATCTAAAAAGAAATCTCTGCATAGTTTGGTAGATGGCAGTTAGTTATACTAATGATTTAAGCAATCAAATCTATTCCTATATAGTCATTTCCAGGGCTGAAAATGAGAGTTGCCACCACTGGGGCAAGCTTAAAAGAATCAGCTACTCTCTTGGGATGAAAAAGTCAGCAAGAAATCAGAGTTAAAACTAAAATAAGAAGTCAACTCATTTCCATTTAGCACTCTTAGGGATTTTTTTTTTTTTTAGTAAGTGCCATGTTTATTTAAGATGGATTTAATTTAAAACTACATTTGAGCCAAATGTATCAGAATATTTTAGGTGTTTAGGATAATCCCTTTCAAACACCTTAGACTGGAGGATTCACTTAGCACTGGAAAAGTCTTCACAGCATCATTGCTGGGGTTGAACGGTAGCGATCAAGAGATGAGTAAAAAACAGACTTTAATGGGGAATGAATGTGTTATGTCATACCAGGATAGCGACAAATAAAATAAGGTACCTTCATCCTAAAAAAGGTGATACTTGTTAGCAGGTCAACAGTTGATTTTAGGTCTTGCAACCGTTCAGCGTTGCTGGCAGGAAAGTTTTCCTGGTTAATTAAGAAATAGAAAATGGGTAAATTATCAGCCTTAAGCTTGTGATGGGAAAATAAATTAAAACTAACTTTCTGGGAAGGAAAATGGGAAGTGAACTGTGTAAAATTATAAAAATATCCCGATAGTATTCTTACAACATCTTATCATAAAACATTATAAAAAGTAAACAATTTGGAAATATTCTCTTCTTAGTCTTGGAAAGCCACATCCTTCTATTTATTGCCACAGTGCAATAAAAATATACAAAACAGTATCATTCATGCAGTGTTATCGTTCATCTTTGTTCATATAATAGTTTTGCTACTAAAAGTAGAGTTTTGCTACTAAAAGTGGAGTTTTGCTACTAAAAGTGGAGTTTTGCTACTAAAACTAAAAGTTTTGCTACTACATGGACAGCATGTAGTTGGAAATATTTTTTGTAATTTTCTCAAGATGGGTAATTTTTCCCAAAAAAACTCTGGGAACTTTTACATGTGCTACATTTAGAGTCACAAAGAAACTCTTAAAAGTTAAAAGAAAAATCAGACTACATGGCAGCATCTCTCCTGGAAGTACTCTGGATTTCCACAAGTTTGTTAGTGCGATTTGGTAGAAATGTGATATAAAAATAAAAATGCTCAGAACTTTGCAGAGGGAAGGTATAATTATGAAAATGTTTGATCTAAGGAACAATTTTCACATTGAGAAATTTCTCATTTTAACTTGCTTTCAGATTGGCTTTTTAAAGAGCAATTAGAAAAACCACAGGTAATTTTTAAATATTCACAAACTCACAGAGAGTTATAGTGTCCACACAATGACAAATGAGGTGGCCTCCAGGCCCTTTTGGCCTCCAAACACCGTTTTCATTGCCTGCATAGCAGTTGTCTTCTACCAGTGTTGGCCCAGTTCCAACAGGAAGGGTGAATTTGACAAAATGTGGTTTTAAAATTTCCAGAAATATGCAATTAAGATATCCATCAGTCATGAACTTAAACATGAACGCAGACGATCTACATATGTACAGATATGACATGATGTTTGAATTATTAAATAAAGAATGCAACAATTACTACAGATTTTTCTGTAAATAAATTTATAACTAAATGTTTTGTAAATATGTATATTTACATACACACATACATGAATATATTTGCGTGTGTGTATTTTGTGGGTTTCACCTGGAGGTGAAGTATAGAAGAGTTGACAAGAACTCTGGACAGCTTCAAAAGAGCACATTGTACTGATCTAGAAAGAGTGAATTAAGCAATGAGTCCAAGTAGGCATCTTAAAAGCTGGGGAAATATTAGCAGGATATCTCAGTAACAAGGGGTGAGCTTTCAGGATGAGGACTCTGCCACATGTCTACCTCATGGATTAGCTGCCACTCAATCTGATTGCTATTATAAAAATTATAAAATTAAAGCTACACATAGTAACACACATGTTACTAATGTAGGCTTATGTGGGGCAAGGTCCCTGAACAAAGGACTGCAGCTTGCTTACTTAGGGGACTTTTTCCAGTGTGACAGAACCTAAGATCCCAAGACCAGCATTTTTACTTTCCCATTACACAGTGGATGATTTTTTACAGTACGACAAGAAAGCATCTCAGCCAAACATGACATTTTACCTTCAGGCAGATAATTTTGTACATACCCTATACTTTGACAGGTCAATCCTTAAAGAGTTATGCAACTGGTCCAGTAGTTTTATGAATTTTTCCCTCTGTACAAAGCAAACACAAAATAGGAGAATGGAAATAAATGGTCATTCTAAATGTAGTCCTCCCAACAACTCTTTGAGTTATTGTTCTCATTCTATAGAAAGGAAGGTTCAAAGATGTCAATGATTATCTAAGATGATAGAGCTGGTATGTGACATAACAGTGCTTCAAATGCAGATCTCTTTGACACCAAATCCAGGCTCTTGCCAATAAGCCACAGGGCCTTTCTGTGATGAATAAGAAAGTATCCAGAAAGTTGTGTACTTTGGAAAGAGTGCAGACAACTGAATTGCCACTGTACTAATTCACAACACTATGAGTCAGCAAGAAAAAACATGACCCACCCCTCTTCCTATCCCCACACACCACAGTACCTCCCCAGAAAGAAATGATTGTTTTTTTAAAATTTCTCCTACCTATGGAAGTGGGAATAGCTATTGTTCTCATCAAGAACAATTTCAAAAAGCATTTTCCTTTTGGTGACAAGCACAGACTTCATAATCTGAAACTATCAATCACCTTTAAAGTATGTTTATGATTTAGTGTTTTAAAAAAAGTATAAAATGTCAAGCCAAAAAAATTATTGATGCTTCCCTCTGAGGCAGTATCAAGGGTGGACTGACCTCTTCATAGGCTGTGAAGATAAGGAGTTTGCTTATAAGTGGAAGGATGAAGTTGTGTTGATTAAATAAGTTAGATAAGATAAAATCATCAAAATCACAAATTTTATAGAACAAACAATCCCCCATTCTGAGTCTCAGATTTGGAATCAAAAATGAAAAAAAATATGGGAGTGTAAGTAAGTAACATTAAAGGTCTCAGCCTACATTACTATTCTGTAAATAACAAATTGCACTTCGGAGGATAATGGGCAAAATAGAAACTTTCCTAATACTTTCACGTATAAGGTGGATTTATGGGGTTATAATTCATCCCTTGAAGTCCCTGATTTTGATGAAGTGAGCTGAATATTAACAGAAGTTGATGAATTGTTCCTAAGTTGAAACTCCAATTTTCTGAATAAACTGCCCTTATTAGTTTCATACATCAGACAATAAAGCTTGATATTACCTCTGTGTTAACCCCCTGTGGAGCCAATGAAGGAGCTTAAGAAATGAATCGTGCCTTCAACATGCTTGCCATCTTTTTAGGCAGAGAAGACTCTTTGGTAAAGCTATTGAAAAATACAGATGAGTAAGGTCTTAGATTTTTCTTTCTCACTCTTCATCATACCTTCCCAGGGGAAGAGGTGAACTATGCCGTCCTTTTATTAACCCCCATCCTGCAACCACTTGGATAAGTAGCTCTCAATCAAAATAGAAAAATTTAAGAGCCACTACCATCATCAGTTTAGGTCACAGCAAAGTGAATTGTAAAAGTTAACGTGTTCATGTCATGTCTCGGAATGCTTTATCTGACCTCTGTGACTGGTACAAATCATCAAGACAGCTGACATGACCCTAGTCCTCCATGCTAATGCCCAAATCACTGGGCCTCTTATATCCACGAGGACTTACTGTTCTGGTTGTCTGCTTGATACCCATTTTTCCATTCTTCCTTACTAAGAGAGCCTCATGAGTCATAGGTGTCCGTTATGAAATACCTACCTTGCCAGACCTCTTTTCTTTTAGCAATGGCCATGCAGTAGGACTTTGGCTAATGAGATACATATAGTTTATTAGAGGGGATGGACTCAGCTAGCATATTGTCAACGAATTATTATTTGAAAAGATTCTAAAGGAGAGTTTGGCAAACACTGCTGTATTAGTGTTTGCTATGTATTTCTTTGCCAGGCTTTTCTCCCTGGGTTTCTCTCCTTTCTCCCCCCTGAAACTCAGACTAGACACAAGAAGGTAAAACAGCCGTGGGACCATCAGATGAAAAGCTAAACAAGCGATGATGCCTGGTGGGGCAGGAAGCTGAGAGCCCCCATGCCTCCCTTTAGCCCTGTCTGCCCACCCTTTCAAAAAATTACAATCCTGAGCAGCCACACTAGCCCTGAATTCCTTATTAACTTTGGACTTAGGTTGCATAGGAAAAAAAAAAAAATTACTTAAGTTTGTTAAGTTTGTTTCATGCAGCCGAACAGAATTCTGACTGACACAGATCACACATGTGGTCTTCCTACATAAGTCTTCAGTGTCCAGCTGGAAAATTTACATTCAAGGAACACAGAAAAATGTGGAGAAAACTGCCAGGCTTGTTGTCATTAAATCCCAGACAATATCAGATGACATGAAATTAAAAGTGTGCTACTGATTGAATTTTCATAGAGATTCTTTAAACAGCAGGACAGCTTGAAATTTAATTTTATTTATCATATTTCTATTTACGTAGAGTGAGATTGCCTTTGCAAGAGTGGAGGAGGCCTATTTCCTGCACCGTGTGACTTGAGGAATAACAGAAGACTGGCTGATTAAAAAATGATTCTCCTGCGGGGGCATGCCCACAACATCTGAACCCGCCCTGTCACTCAGTTCTTCCTGTCAGGTAAGGTCTACACATGCCTGGGATTTGGTAGCGGCCACGTCAATCATAATACAGCTGTCAGTTATCAAAAACTTAGGTTTAATTAGTTGATAAGAATAATTCTAGACCAGGGGTCAGAAAGCTGTCTGGAAAGAGCCAGGCAGTAAATATTTTCAGCTTTGTCACCTGTCACAACTATAAAACTCTGCCACTGCAGCACAGTAGCTCCCAGAGACGATATAGAAACGAAGGGCATGGCTAGTCTCCCAGCAAGTTCTGTTTCTTGGACAGTGAAATTTGAATGTCATATAATTTTCATGTGTCATAATGATGAGGGAACAGAAGGCAAGCTGAGGACAAAGCAGAAGGTGACACCCCACAACACCACCCCCACCATGGGATATATGTGACATTCCTCAGGCACTCCTGGCTGGCTGCCCTAAAGGAAAAACAAATAGTTAATTTATAGAGATCACAATCCTACAAGACAGGAGTCTCCCTCAGTTTACAAATGTCTTAGCAATCTACAAGAACAAAGCATTCCTATCATCAATAACCTAGCTTCCAGAAGGAAATGTAGATACAATTAAATGTCTTTATAACCTGCAGCCCATCATCGACAGATACTTGAAGTGGGCAGAGTGTTCCTCCAGGAAGTTCCCAACTATCTTAATGTTAATGCCTTACTAGAGAGGGTAAACAACCTTAACTTGACAATGGCAAGGCTTCTGGTATCCTTTGAGTCTTCTTTAGCATATGAAAGTTCTTTCTGAAACCTCCCTTTTTCCTTACCTCCCCCAACCCCATATTATATAATCAGTCACCCCTCACAACCCCGGGGGCAGCAGCTCCTTCTGCCCACAGGTCCTGTCCCTGTGCTTTAATGAACCACCATTTTGCACCAAAGACACCTCAAGAATTCTTTCTTGGTCGTTGGCTCCAGACTCCACCCCACTGAACCTCACCTATATTCCCAAACCCCGTCAGTAAAACGACAGTCTTCTTTGGATATTTTTTAACCGTTTAAAATGTGGAAGCCATTCTTATCTCCGGGACCCATACAAAACTAGCTGGGGGGCTGGTTGTAGCCCAAGAGCACAGGGGAGATTTTGAGGAGGGGGAGGCAGTTGTTACCCCACAAGTGTATTCAAATCAACAAGAAATGTCAGTGTACTGCCCTGGGATCCTGGGAACTGGAGAAGGGAAAGTCTTCATAAGGAAGGGGTGTGAAAACCTCTGCATCAGCCTCCGCTTCTCTCTTCCATTTCTTTGTTTCTCAGTATCTCAGGCCAGAAGCAGGGGCCGATTTAAGTTGAAGCTGATGACACTTCAACCCTGGGGGCCCTCACTTCAGCTTCCCCAGGAAGAACTCTAGCTATGTGTTCACATGATCTCAGGGTTTTGTAAATGTCGTAAAAATAGGATGAAAATTATTCTGACTTGGACCAGCTAACTGTAAGTACTTTGTTTTCCGGAACATATCAAAAGCAGTAATTCATTAAGAACAACAGAACATTTCAAATAGAAATTACACATAACCTATTTTGATATTTTTTGGTAATTTAGTTAATCATGGGAACATACTGGAAGTTGGTCTACATTTCTTGTTGATTTGAGATTAATACTGGTATCAACAGATATCATAAAATTATAAAATGTCACTACAATGATGGTATCAGTGACAAACTAATAAATGTAATCAATTCAAGGAGTATTTAAGCAGTCACTTCACAGGCAAGCCGGAAAAACCCTGAGATGGTACTCTTCGCTGACCCAGAGAGCCTCAACATCTCCCTCAGTTTGACTGAACTTTAGAAATAGGTTTCTTCCTGACTCTAGGCCCTGATTTCTCTTTTTTTTTTTTTTTTAAGATTTTATTTATTTATTCATTAGAGACAGAGAGAGAGAGGCAGAGGGAGAAGCAGGC